TTGAATGAAACGATTGAATCACTAAATCATTTGGATTTCAATCAAACAATTGATTGCAAAACATTCAAAATCAGTCAAACATTGCTTTCAAATAACAATAATAAGTATTTCCACTGTTTTTGGCCTAAATGTCAATTCAAGGTTAAAAACAAAAAGTATTTAAAAAATCATCAAATGAAACATTCAAATATACAATTTAAATGTGATTTCAATGGTTGTAACAAAAGTTTTACAACGAATGCAAATCTATTATTTCACAAAAGTTGCGTTCATTTGAGTGAAAAGCCGTTTAAATGTAATGAAATAAATTGTGGCAAAAGTTTTGGTCTCAAATCAAATCTAATTCAACACAAAAGAAGTATTCATTTGATGGAAAACAGATTCAAATGTAATGAAAAGAATTGCGACAAAAAATTCCGTTCACATCACAAACTAAAGGAACATAAATTCATACATTCGGGAGAAAAACCATTTAAATGTAATGAAGAAAATTGTGACAAAAACTTTACAACTAAACGCAATCTAATGCAACATAAATGCGTGCATTCGGGAGAGAAACCATTTGAGTGTGATTTTAAAGACTGCAACAAATGTTTTACAACAAAATCATATTTATTACAACACAAAAAATGTGTTCATTTAAATGTTAAGTCATTCAAATGTAATGAAGAAAATTGCAATAAAAGTTTTCCGTATAAACGAAGTCTAATGGCACACAAAAGCCTACATTTGGGACTAAAACCATTTAAATGTGGTGTAAATGATTGTAACAAAAGTTATGTAACAAAAAATGTCTTAAATCGTCACAAAAGTTGTGTTCATTTGAAGAAAAAATAGTTTTCAAACATTTTTATAAATATTGATTATAGAGTATAATATACTTTGTTTATAATATGTATATTTTTATTTAATATTCAATGTCTAAATAATTGTAAAACATTTTTCATAAATATTATACGATAAGAGTATTTCAATCTGTTTTTATTACTAAACACAATATTAATATTGATTAATTGTAATATAATTATTATTCATTTTAATTTCATTGCGTTTAATATACAATTAAAACACTATTAAGTTATAATAAAATGTTAAATTATTGTAACTTTTCAATTAAAATTAATAAATAATAACATTAAATGTATAATTAAACAAGTGTAAAACTTATTATTAATATTATGCAAATTATTAATATTAAGTTAATTTATAATTAATTAAAATTACAAAACTTATTGTTCAATAATTGTTTATTAAGACTATTAATCGAAACTTCTTTCTTATGACTTGTATAATAAAATTCTTGATACGATTTGTATTGAATTCTGAGTACACTATCTGTTAGTCCCATAAACTCTGTTTTATCCAACTCTAAGGGGTGATAAATCTGATGGCAATCCTTAACACAATGAATTAAAACAGTAGTATAATATTTATCAACAATAATAATAAGCATTTTATAGCAAACATTTGAAATTAATTTTATTCATTTAATTATAACTTCCAAATACACTATAAAGTATAATAATTAGTGGACACGGAATAAACCAGTGATTCCCTCACAAACATTATAATATTTTTAATTTAATGTATAGTTAACTGGCATTTTGTGGCACTAAATAATATTGCCAAATAATTTTGTTATCATAAAAATTATATTGTTTTGAATTTATAATAATTTGTCTAATTTTTGGACACCTGGTAAACATATTTTTGAGACCCGTTTCAGTGAATTCATGGCTACCATAGAGTCTAATGGTATGTATTTGTGGTAATTTTGATAATGAATTCAATACACTATCGGTTATCGGACGACAATAAATGTCTATGACTTCCAGTTTATGTGAATTAATAATTATTTGTTCAAAATGTATATCAAATATGTTTACAATTAGCGTTAAATGTGTTAAATGTTTGAATTGATTATTTAAATCACAAATAGCTGTAAAACTATAGACATGTCCTTTGAATGTCAAACGTCTCAATCGGTGATAGTATTGATTAATTGTTTGCATTAATTGCTGGTAATAATAGTTATCATCGATTATCAGGTCCAACGATAATCGACATAATTTACGACAATTATAACCAATTTGTTTCATACCATTCGCTATAATAGTGTTTAATATCACTGAATAACAGGTGATCTTCAGATCAGTCAATGCCATCATTTGTGACAAACCATTCATCAGTATATCAATTGAATTCACAAAAATGTAATCAATTTTTACATCAATTGATTTCAAAGTACGCTTAAAATGTTGTGTCAGTAAATTGAAACTGGTGAATTCATTTTTGTAGTTAAAATTAATTTTACCAAGGTTAGTTGATAAAATGTCCATGGGTAATTTGTTAATTTGTGTTAATTTATCGCAAATTATTAACATTTTGTCCGATTGTGAGGGAGATATTAAAAACCCGATTGTTTTCAATTGTTTGGCAAACTTTGCAAAAAATGAATCAATTGTTTCGGCCGTTAGTTTGTCATCAACTTTAAAGCTAACATGTCGTAAATTATCGCAATGTTTTATTACCATGATTATTATTAAATCACTTAAATTAGCCCATTTGTTCACTTCAATGCGTGTAATGTTTACACACTTTTTAATTATGGTTAGAAATATTGCATTAGATTTTTTAGTTGTTTTGAATTTACGGCCCAAACAGTAATCAAATAAATGTTTTGAATTGATATCTGTCTGTGTATTGAATAGCAATCGTTGCCATTGAGTGGACACACATTCACACCGGAATCGGTCCTCAAATGACAGATAAGTGAACAATACGTGACACAAATCATCACCGAAGCTGTCCATTGAATCCCTCGATAAGCACTCCATTT